CAGATCGATGAAGTACACTGCTGAGGGGAGCAGCGGGCGGGCCAGGAGAGGTCTGCCACGCCATGTGGGTCACCCTCTGCGCTGGGATCAAACTCGCACTGAAGTGGCTATGAACAGCCTGAAGTACTGTGTCCTAACCTGTTGCACCACTAGGGAAAGCACCCCCTCCTTTTTTTTTCAATAAAACAAAATGTAAGGCTTGGTGATAAGAGACAAAGATGAAAAAGACAGGGTAGATTCTCAAGGGTTGGAAAGGCGGGAAGGCAGTGTAGCCCATGTTGCCTTAGTGAGAGTATGGAAGCACCAAAGGCCATTCCCTCCCTAAGTGTGTCTGAGGTCACCCCGAATGGCACAGCATCCAGGAAGTCCTTCCTGAGCTCTGCTCCATGCTCAGGACCCCCTGCTTCCTCTCAACAAGCTCTCTAATCCCGTGTATCATCCGCAAGAGGCACTGGAATAGAGTATTCCAGAGGCTCCACCCACATCCATGAGGAGATCACGTGGGTAGCATGCTGTTTTCAAAGACCCTGCACTCAAAGCCATTTGTCACTCCTGTAATAACCCTGTCATTGTTATCACTCAGACACAATGACCTAGATAGACAGCTACCCTGAAGACATGTAAGCAAGGGGACTCAACCCCCTCTTGGCACTGGCAGCCCCCACCCCAAGTGAAGTGATAGAAGCATGGTCCTTGAATGATATCAAGTGACACACTAGAAGCATGGTCCTTGAATGATAAAGCAGGTCCTCCAAATACGTCATTTTACTTAATGTCATTTCATTGTAATATTGATACCCAAAAAGGGTCTCTCAATGGGGATGTAAGGGGGTCATTCTCCCAGGTCTGCTCAGTTAGGTCACTGAGCATGTCCAGACTGTGACCTGTCACAGAAGGGTGTCCTGTCCAAGGCTGGGTCGCACCTTGACCCTGAGCTTCCCGAACAGGCTCTGACCACCCAGATTCAGAACTGGGGAAGTGAGTCAGCCAGAAGGTGGATGAATGGCTACAAATTCTGTAAAATGAGGGGTATTTTTTGTCTTTATTTGGATGTTTGATGACCAGAAATGTGCTATAGGAACTTAATTCTTGTTTGTACCAATCAGCTTGTGGTCAAATTGCTTCACTATATAGGGTTTTGCTCAAAGTTTCAGTTTCCAAGAACAGAAAGATGTTTCGAGAACATAAAGTAAGGACTTCATGTTATAACCTGGTGTGTAGAAGGTTCTCAGACATTTGTTCAGTGAGTAAATAAGCACCTCGTGCTCAAATGAAAACAGGTGGTATTTATTAATAACCAGTATTCATACTTTAAAGGTAGCTTGCCTTTAAAGTATGCACAAATTGTGTATGTCACTGAAAGTTAAAAAAACAAGTTTAATTCAAGTTTCTGAGAAGAAGCCTAGCCATACAACTTGTTATGACTTTGAAAAACATTTTTGAAAGTATAACAAAGTATTACTCGATTGGTATTAGCCAAAGCACCAACCTAATAAATTTAAAAGTGTGGTGGTGCATTTCAAGTTCTAATTTCAAATCAAAATTTATCAACCCAGACATTCTTTAAAATAAATGTATGTAGTGAGCTTTAGTGCATTTTAAAATTTTTAACTGCAACTTTATTAGTGGCTAATAAAAAGTAATGTTCCTGGTAAGAGATTCTCCATTCTTGCATAATGCTTAATAAATATTTGAGGCCCTCCCTGGTGGCACAGCGGGTTAAAGCCCAGCACTAAGAAGCTAAAGCCACTTCCGCATGAGTTCGATTCCCGCCTGCCCCGGAGGTGACCACATGGCGCAGCAGAACTCTCCTGACCCGCCTGCTGCTCCCCTCAGCAGTGTACTTCGTCGATCTGCCTGTTCTGCTCCCCACTCTGTCTCTGGTGAATTCTCTCACTACCCCTGCACCTCTGGCCTGTACCCCAGTTCTGTATGCGCAAATAAATCTTTAAAAAAAATTTTTTTAATAATATCTTTAAATCTTCCTTTTTTCTCATTGTCTTCTTTCTGTACCCTTTTCTTACTCTCCCAATACAAGTAACCTATATTACGTCACTGTTTAATTACCATACAGTATAAGTAAATACCTGTTAACAGTCATTTATTGAGACTCACTGCAAGTATGAAGAGGAATAAAGAATAGCCACTGTTTATCAGGGTAGGTGACACAAATAGATAAGTATAATTATATAATACAGGGATCATGATAAATTGACACCTCTGAAGAGAGGTTATATGATCCCTTGAGGTTAAATGTAATATCGAATA